TGAGGAAGAGGGGAGGTGTTCCGAGGATGTTAGACAGGTCCTGCTTGAGAGCAGGAGACCGTCCACACGTCGTACCTACCTGGCCAAATGGTATCGGTTCTCCATGTGGGCAAGGGAGAGGGGTTCCTCCCTCTCCTCCGCATCTCTCCAGCTCATCCTCAACTACTTCCTGTCCCTTAGGTCCCAGGGGCTGGCGCCCTCCTCGGTCATGGTGCACCTGGCAGCCATTTCGGCCTTCCACCCCCCGGAGCAGGGCCACTCGGTGTTTTCACACCGCATGACGTCCCGGTTCCTAAAAGGGCTGGATCGGGCTTTCCCTTATGCTAGACCCCCAGTCCTGCTCTGGGACCTGAACCTAGTGCTCTCCTGCCTCACAGGGCCCCCTTTCGAGCCCTTGGCCATGTGTTCTTGGTCCCACTTGTCGTGGAAAGTGGCGTTCCTGGTGGCTATCACCTCAGCCCGCCAGGTCTCAGAGCTTAGGGCCCTGACCTCCGAGCTCCCGTATACGGTCTTCCATAGGGATAAGGTCCAGCTCCGCCAGCACCTGGCTTTCCTGCCGAAGGTAGTCTCGGCTTTTCACATGGATCAGGACATTTTCCTCCCAGTCCTCTGTCCTAAGCCCCATTCCTCCAATGAGGAACGACGCCTGCACATGCTAGATGTGCACACAGCGCTGGCCTTTTACCTAGACAGAACCAAGCCATTCCGGAAATCCCCTCAGATTTTCATTGCTTCGGCTGAGCGCATGAGGGGGCGACCGGTTTCCACCCAGCGGATCTCCTGCTGGATCACCTCGTGCATTCGCACGTGTTACAGCCTGGCAGGGGTTCCTCCGCCTAATATAGTGAAGGCTCATTCGACGAGAGCTCAGGCCTCGTCAGCAGCCTACGTGGCTCATGTCCTCATTCAGGACACCTGCAGGGCTGCTACATGGTCCTCTGTCCACACCTTTTCATCGCACTATGTGATCGTCTCCCAAATGCAGGATGACGCCGGGTTTGGTAGGGCGGTTCTCCGCCCGGATAACCCTTAAACTCCTACCCATCTCCATCAGGTATAGCTTGGAGTCACCTACTGTGGAATACGCATGAGCAATCACTCGAAGAAGAAAGGACAGTTACCTGTTCCGTAACTGGCGTTCTTCGAGATGTGTTGCTCAGGTGTATTCCACATCCCGCCTTCCTTCCCCTCTGTCGGAGTTGTTTGGCAAGAAGGAACTGAGGGTGGGGGGAGCGTACAGCCCCCTTTATGGCGCGATATAGAGGCGCCACTCCAGGGGTCGCAGCGGTGCTCCCCCACTACGGGTACTGCTAAGGGAAAAACTTCCGGCACTGGTGCAAGTGGCGAGCACGCACACCTACTGTGGAATACACCTGAGCAACACATCTCGAAGAAAGCCAGTTATGGAACAGGTAACTGTCCTTTCCTGCATCTCCCCCAGGCCGGATGCCTCCGCCTGATCTTATGCACTGGGGGGAGGGGGGCAGCAGCTGCTCCAGCAGCCCCTCCTCCAGCTCCCACTCTCATCTCTGCCCCCTTGTGAGTGTGTGGAACATAGATGGGTCCTACTTTGCTCTCACCCTGGTGAGATGTTGTGGGGGTGGAAACATAGATTTCCCCTGCCCAATATTTCCATCGTGGGGGCACTAACCCTGACACACACACCCCGCACCCCTGTCCCTGGTTCTGCCACCCCTGAAAGTTTCTGACCAGCTGGCTGTGTAGAAAAGCTGGAAAATGTGACCCAAGTGTAGCCTAGCTAGCAGGCAAATTAGAATCCAGGTTTTGTTGTTTTAACGATCATGGTTTTACAAAGGCTGACTCATGAGTTTTGAACACTTGTGGTTAACATCATGGATGATGTTAAAACGCTTATCTTTACAAAGCAGAGCTACTAAGGGCTTGTCTACACCTAAAATGTTGCAACTGCGTCACTGCAGTGTTTCAGTAACGATGCTATCTACCTTGATGGGAGGGGTCCTCTGGTCAGCAGTGGTACTTCACACCCCCCGGAGACAGGAGCTAGGTCAACAGGACAATTCTCCTGTCGACCTAGTGCTGTCTATACCAGGGGCTAGGTTGATTTAACTGCGTCATGTAGGGGTGTGAATTTTGCACACCCGAGTGACATAGTTATACCGATCTAACTTCCTAATGCTGACCAGGCCTGATGTCAGAAAGGGACATGGTGATCACCTAGTCTGACCTCTTGCATAACATAGGCCAGAGAACTTCCTGGAAGCAATTCCTGTTTGAACTAGAGCAGAAAAAAACATTCCGTCTTGATTTAAAAAATGCTGGTGATGGACAATCCACCACAGCCCTCCATAAATTCTTCCAATGGTTCATTACCCTCACTGTTAAACATTTACACCTTACTTTCCAGTCTGGATTTGTCTAGCTTCAATTCCTAGATAGTGTAGGCAAAGGCACCAGTGGTCTCCTTGAACACTTTTTAGCCCAATGTTTAGTACACCCTCTCCAGGATATGGGAGATACAGGTTAAATTGCTGCTTCTTCCTGATGTGGAGAAGGGCTCTGCACTTCGGTTGCCCACCTGGCGGCAGCAGCATGCCCTAACCAGGGGGCTGTGCGCTAGTCTGACTGATGTCTTTGGACAGAAGTGTCACCATTCTGACAAGTGATGGGATGCTTTTCATCATGCACCCTGTTTGTTCTTTGCAGCTTAGCCTGTGCAACTAGGCTGGTCAATTTCATTATTTTCCTAGTCAATTTCACTTCGGGCTGCTCCTGCTCTTAAACACATGCCATGGAGAGGTGAAATCAAAGCCAGGAATTTTAATTACTTTTTTTAAAGGACAAAACTTAGTATTAACAAACACAGTCCAAATCTTTTGTCTCGCCTACCTGAGAGCCTCTGTTTGAACTGTGATCAGTTTATATAATCTACACATTTTAATTCAATGGCCAGACACATTTTGTATGTGAGAAGAAAATTGATAGGGTTTAAAAGCTTGATATTTCCAAATAGAAGGTTGACCGGCTGTGCCTTTATCCTTAGATTGTAGCAATTTGGGGGTAGATTCCAGCTTTCCATTTCACATGTGTACAATGCCTAGAACTATTTATTTGTTTCTATCATAGTGGTGGCAGCTGTATATATTACAGATTCATAGATTTTTAAAGCCAGAAAAGACCACTGAGATCATCTAGTTTCACGTCCTGTATAATCCAGGCCAGAGCACTTCCCCCACTGCTTCCTGCATCAATACCAGAACTGGTGTTTGAGCTAGATCTTTTGGAAAAACACCCAATCTCGGTTTAAAGACCCCAAGCGATGGAGGAATCTACCCTGTCCCTGGGTGAGTTGCTCTGGCCTCTCAAACAGAGCAAACAGAGCACCTCCTACAAGACAGGGCCAACAAAGAAAATAACAGAACACCACTAGCTGTCACCTTCAGCCCCCAACTAAAACCTCTCCAGCGCATCATCAGAGATCTACAACCTATCCTGAAAGATGATCCTTTACTCTCACAGATCTTGGGAGACAGACCTGTCCTCGCTTACAGACAACCCCCCAACCTAAAGCAAATACTCACCAGCAACCACACATCACTGAACAAAAACACTGACCCAGGAACCTATTCTTGTAACAAAGCCCGATGCCAACTCTGTCCACATATCTATTCAAGTGACATCATCATAGGGCCTAATCACATCAGCCATACCATCAGGGGCTCGTTCACCTGCACATCTACCAATGTGATATATGCCATCATGTGCCAGCAATGCCCCTCTGCCATGTACATTGGCCAAACCGGACAGTCTCTACGCAAAAGAATTAATGGACACAAATCTGACATCAGGAATCATAATACTCAAAAACCAGTGGGAGAACACTTTAACCTGTCCGGCCATTCTATGACAGACCTGCGGGTGGCTATCTTAAAACAGAAAAACTTCAAAAACAGACTCCAAAGAGAGACTGCTGAGCTGGAATTGATATGCAAACTAGACACAATCAACTCAGGATTAAATAAAGACTGGGAATGGCTGAGCCATTACAAACATTGAATCTATCTCCCCTTGTAAGTATTTTCGCACTTGCTTCTTATCAAACTGTCTGTACTGAGCTATCTTGATTATCACTTCAAAAGTTTTTTTTCTCTTACTTAATTGGCCTCTCAGAGTTGGTAAGACAACTCCCACCTGTTCATGCTCTCTGTATGTGTGTATATATATCTCCTCAATATATGTTTCACTCTATATGCATCTGAAGAAGTGGGTTGTAGCCCACGAAAGCTTATGCTCTAATAAATTTGTTAGTCTCTAAGGTGCCACAAGTACTCCTGTTCTTTTTGCGGATACAGACTAACACGGCTGGTACTCTGAAACCTGTCAAACAGAGCAGTTATTCTGGGCACTGTACATTCACACAATGACTCTCACTCCCTGCCCCAATGTGCTTACAATCTCGGGGTATGAGCTGAGATAACAAGGGCACGTGCCCAAGAAAGGGGGCTCATGGGCTGACAGACTTGATCAGTGTAGTAAGCCGCTCAGCTGCTCCCTAGACAATTTTTTTTTTTTTTTTTGCAGGCATCACAGCCAAGGGGGTCTCAAAGGAGGACAAAGTATAAGGGCTTTGCAGGTTTTTATGGGGCACACCTCCCCAAAAGGGACGGGTCCCTGTTCCTTTCTTGGGGGCCTTTAGATGCTACTGTAAGCTCCCTCCTACTATCCCGCAGGTGTGCAGGCCGATTGGCTGGCAGGTGCATGCAGGGGGCCAGATAGGCACTTCAGTTGTGCATGGGTGACACTTGACACACGCATGCTGGAACCTTGCTTCTGCCAACCTGCCCCCATTGCACGCACTGCGATCACACGAGCCTAAAATGCAGTGTGTGTGTGTGTGGGGGGGGGGGGGGGCGAAGGGCTAACACAAAACCTCCAGAGGGCAGCGTTCAATCTTTTGCCTCCCTTTGCTTCCCTTTTTCAGGGCACTGTTGCTTTAAGCTGCAGCCGGAGAGAGACCCAAGCTAGCCTGTGCTGTAGCCAGTGTGGCGGCCAGGAGGAAGCATTGCGGAACCAGTCGATCCTGCCTCTCTCTCTTTTCATGACCTAGTGACCTGATACTTTATCAGATTGTTATTTTTTGCGGTGGCTTTGGCACAGGTTTTTTTTCTTCCCCTACAACGCTCGTGCCCCTCTCCTGGCACTCCCCTCGGCTGGCCCTGCCCGCTGCTTGCACCAGCAGATCCACACACAGACACACAACTCAGAAAACAGAAGCAGTTGTCAAGGGGGTGGGAGACAAGCAAACCCTTAGCCGCATTCACTGCAAGGCAGGCCCGCCTCTCCTGCAAACACGCACAGCGCCTCAGAGAGGAAGGGGAGCCGCTAGCAGAGGAGGTGAAGCCGATCAGAAATAAGGAAGAAGTGGAAGGGGCTGTCGCTGCAAGGCATCATGTGGATCTGTTGGTGAAAGGGGTGGGGGAACAACACCCCCCTCTTTTTTCCCACCCCAACCCCCCCCGGCATCTAGAGGGGCAGAGAGGGGGCTCGGTCGGCAGCTGAGGCCGGAGACTCAAAAAATTAATAATCTCTTAAGGTATTTAAAAAAAAGGAAAGGAGAAGAGAGAAGATTGCCTGGCAAGATGGCCGACCTGGAAGCGGTGCTAGCGGATGTGAGCTACTTGATGGCTATGGAGAAAAGCAAATCCACCCCTGCAGCCCGGGCCAGCAAGAAGATCCTGTTACCTGAGCCCAGGTGAGCTGGGGGCAGGTGTGGGGCAGCCGGCTGGGCCTTGCTGGCCCTTTGGTTGGAAATGGACCTACCCCTCCCCCCCCCCCCCCAACACACACACACACAGCTCCCTGCAAGGTGTCTTGACCTGAGCAGAGTGGGCACCCCAGGTTGGGCATGGGGGGCAGCGAAGTGGCATGGTTCTGAGAGTCTGTGTTGGGGGGGAGCTGTATGTTACTGGGGAAGGCTGGCACACTCTGCCCTGTCCAGGTTGTGTCTTCCTGATTGTTTCCCCCCTGGAGCCTGGATAGTTTCCCATTATTCTATTTTCTTCCAGGCTCCTGTGTCTTGCTTTCCAACACCAGGGAGATGGGAGAGGAGGGTCTTGAGTTGACCCTTTCCACCCCCTTTAAAACCCAGAGACCCTTCCCCACACCACCCCCTCCTCCTTTGTATCTGTCAGTTCCCAGCACCAGGGTTGTGATCTCCCTGCGCTTGGGAGGCTCTGAAGAAAACATGATCCTGGCAAAACCTGCCATGGACTGATCTGCACAGCTGGCTACATGCGGGCATGCATCAAACACAATGGTGCAGCAGGGCTGCACTAGCGCCTATCTAATGGTTGTGAGACACACGCAGCAGGGTTCGAGATGCAATCTGTGCTAAGGATCATCTGTGCCCAGCACCCTACTTCCAACCCCATGCGCAATATCCATGCTATTTAACGAGCTAGTGGCACTTAACAAGTGCCCGGGGATCAGGGCAGCCTGTGGCGCAACAGACATGTACGATAGCATGTGTGGCACCTTCTTTTGGCCTTCGCCAATGATGGGCATCAACCTGGCTTCGGGGAATGGGGCAGAGAAAGTCATCGAAATGCAGCTGGCTCTGGGTTGGGAGGGGAGAGCTGCAGAGTGAAGAGCCCAGGGCCGACCCCCTCTCCTATTGGGCTGCTTTCCTGTTCTCATGGGCTGTAGATAGCACAACCCCCTGCCCCAGCACAAAACTCGACCCATGGACGCTCCCATCTCCACCAGTCCCTACTCTTCAACCCCATCCCTTCCAGCAAAGAGCCCAGCCTTACGCTGCCCCGGCCGGGGCTGCAGGGCGAGGGAGAGGGGAGCTCAGAGTCAGGGCTCCTCGCTGAGCACAGCGCAATGACAGTCAAGGCCCAGGCTGGGCGGGGGGTGACTTGGCCAGAAGTGACACCTGGGAGCAGAGGGGAAGCCGGGGCAGCAAGGGGCCTGTCTGTGTGGTGGGCAGGGGCCTGGTACTGCCTGGCAGTCACACAGGCCTAGGCTACTGGCATGGAGCTGTGGGTTTCCACCCTCGTGAGCGCATGTGTGAGAGCATCCATCCCCTGCCTGCTGAACTCCCTCTGCTCCCGTGGCCTGGGGGGAGCAGGCCCTAGGGCCAGCCAAGCTCCAGTCCCCTGTCTCCAGCTTCTCCAAAGGGGGCAGGTGCCCATGGGGATGGTAGGGAGACCCTTTTGAGCTAGGAGTCCCTAGAAGCACCGGAGGCTGCCTGGACTCCAGATTTCTCTGTGCTGGGCTCATGGGGGGCCGTGGCTGGATGGGGCCCATGGGGGGCAATGGCTGGGTGGGGCCCCCTGCCCTGCTCCCCGGAGCCAGGCCTGTCTGACCCCAGACCTCTACTTAACTGCAGATTCCCCCACCCCAACTACGCTGCCCCACGTCACTGTGTGGGAGCAGGGTAGGCCTTCTGGGGACTGGGCATGTGTGCTGGGGTGCATTGGGGGCAGGGAGGGGCCAGGCCTGTGTCCTGGGGTGCAATGGGATGGGGAGGGGCCAGGTCTGTGTGCTGGGGGGGCATGGGGAGCAGAGGCGTTTTCCGTAGCTGTGATAAGATGTCTGGGATGGTAGCCTAGGGCCCCCCCGTCCTGGAGAGGGGTTACAGCTGGGCCTTACCCAGATGCCCCCTCTGGGGATGGCTGTGGACAGAGACTGCCGCTGAGTCTTGGCACCGCAGGGAGCTGGCTCCCTGCACTCCTCTACCCCTACTATTGGGGGCTCCCTGTACTGCCCTACCCCTACACGGGATGGCCATCGCAGTGCTGCGTAGTGCCCTTACTGTGGGGGATGGACCTGGGGAGGTGTTGGGGGCTGACCATCTTTGTGCACGAGGGAGCTTTAAGGGGTGGGGTGGGGAATGGATCTCTAGGGGAGATGTAGTCGAGGGGGGGCGTATCTCCTATGTGGAGGTGACCTTGGGTTTGTAAAGTGGATGGGGGGCTGGGTGAATGGGGGGTGGATTAGGGGCTAGGGGCCCCCTCCCTCTGATCCCCACAGTGCCCTCCTCTGTGTTTTCCCCGGGAGCCTCTGGTGGCTCACACCTGGTCCAGCCCACCCCTTCTTCCCCCACATCCCACCAGCCAGGCCTGTGGGAAAGTCACTACCAGCTGCTGCCTCGGGCCTGGACCCTGAGGGGATGGTGCAGAGAGCCAGGGACTAGCAGGGGCATGAGGGGCAGGGCCTGCTGCAGGGAAGGGCCATTATGGGGCCCCACCATGCCGAACCAGCTGTGACCCCATGGGACCAGGAACTTGGTTGAGAGGGATGTGCTGCCTCACATCCGATCTGGCTGTGGGGTGGAGAAGGGGGTGCAGGGGCTTCTGTGTGACCCCCCCCCACACACACACATCTGCACATGCCCGGTCACCCTACCCTGCTCCCCCACCCCCGCTCCCCCACCCCCTTTGGGTTCGGGCTCACACTGGCCACAGAGGTGCTGGGCGGGGCAGGGGGGAGGGTCGAGCCTCCTGCCCCCGAGGCACTCCTCCCCCTCCGTAGGGCCCAGCCAGAGGGGTTCCTCTTTTTTGCCTGCCCCTCCGGATTGATTTGGAGAGGCTAGAGACTAAAATCCTGGAGCCAGAGCCAATCAGGGAAACAGAACCTTGCGCCATGCTGGCATTGCTCATAGCAGCCACGGGCATGCAGCAGTGCACTGCCTGGTGTGTCTGGGCGGGAAGCCCAGGGCGAGGGTAGCAGGGGGCTGTAGGCTGGGATTGAGGGACATTGACAGAAATCAGGGAGGAGCCCAGAGCTGGGATAGCAGAGGAGCTGCGAGGAGGGATGGAGGGGCAGTGGCAGAGCTGCGGGGGGAGGCCAGGGCTGGGCTAGCCCAGGCCTCTGGGTTGGGACCCTCCCTGTCGTGCCAAGGCTGAGGCCCTCCTCCATCATCGAGGGAACCTCTGCCCCCGGCCCAGCCTTGGGGAAGGTTCCTCCCATCTTCCCATTGGCCTACAGGACAGAGGAGAGTTTTTGGTTCCAGGTTTTGGTGAATTCTTCCAAGACCCTGAGACCTGGGAGGCTGGAAAGATGAGGGGCCGAGTCCCCCTGGATGTCCAGTAAGGGGGCGAGGCCAGAGGGCAGCAGTGCAGTTGATTGGGGCTGATCAGTGTTGGGGCCAGGTTTCCATTCTCTTTGGTGTCATCAAGAGCAGCCTCAGAGCTGCTCCAGTACGCCACAGGGCCTTGACACCAGCTCTGGCCACACCCTCAAAAACCCAGCAGAGAGACACGCCACCCACCAACCCACGCCACCCCAGGCCAAAGGAGCCCTTGGCTGCCCCAGCACGAAAGGCCTGACCAGGGCAAGCATCTGGTCTTAGTTCTTTGGGCCATGGTCTGTTAAAGGGTCAGAGTGCTGCTGCCCTTGGCAGGGCCAGGGGAGGATGGCACCTTCATGAGCAGGGCTTCACGTCTCAGCAGGGTCTTCAGAAAGGCCTGTAGCCATACAGGCATGTCCAGAGCAGGGGCCCATCTACCCTGGTATACCGTCTCCAACAATGCTCACGTCTGGCTGCTTCATGGGGAGGTGCAAGGAGCCTCCTAGTGGGCAGTTCTGGACCAGAGCTTTCACTTTTATCCCCCTTCCAGTAGCCAACTGCAGCCAGGGCCCTGCTGTGCCAGGTGCTGCACGGACATTTGGTGAGAGAGCCCCTGCTCTGAAGCATTCAGTCTGCATAGACCTGGCAGACCATGCCAGGGTAGTCATCCCCGCTGTACCAATGGGGAATTCAGGCACCAAGAGACGACGGTCGCACGGAGTGTCTGCCACGGAGCCAGGAATAGAATCCCAGCCCACTCTACTCTAATCACTAGACCCCACTCCCCTTCCAGAGCTGGGAGAAAACCCAAGAGTCCTGGCTCTGAACCCCCCCAGCTCTAATGACTGGACCCCACACCCCTCCCAGAGAACCCAGGAGTCCTGCCCAGCTCAAGTTCTTCTCTTTGCCCTGAGCACTGTCAGGCCCTGTTTGTGCAGATCCCAGAGGAGGATGTTGCAAACTCCCACCCCTCCCTGTGGGTGGGAATGGAGGCAGCAGCTTCTCTCCATCTCCCCATTATCCACCAGACTTGACTTTCCTGCTGGTCTGAGATGTTCCTTGTGCCACAAGGCCTGGTGTCTTCCTGCTCAGGTCTGCCGGGTGCCAGCTGCTGTCTTGCAATGGTGTTCATGTCCCTTGGGAAGCTGCCCATGGATATGCTGGGCAGGTGGAATGTTCCCTAGGGTGAGATTTTGGCGGCCTGGTCAAGCATCGTAGAAGATCGCAGTGGGCTTGTTTAAACAAACAAACAAGGAAATTTTCACCCAAAAAACTTGGTGAAGCTGCAGCTGAATGGAGGGAAGGGTCTTAAAGGGAGCTGAAATTTAACAAACTAATAAATATTGAAAAGTCAAAGAAGGTTCGGTTCAGGGGAAAAAGCATATATTAAAATCCCCAACATGGGAAAGCCTAGGGCTCCGGCGAGGAGATGCCTGTTCCGACACCCCCAGGCATGTAGATCCAGAATCCAAATGGGCCCAGGTGGTTTCTACTGGGGGAGGGAACAAGAGTGAGGGGTGGGTATCCCGATTAATCCCTTGTGTGCTGTGTGTCTTGCAGCATCCGCAGCGTCATGCAGAAATACCTGGAGGATCGGGGCGAAGTGACTTTGGAAAAGTTTTTTTCTCAGAAGGTGGGGGGGGGGGGGGGGGGGGGGGGGGGGTGAAGTGCTGCAGGGGATGCACAGACACACCCATGCACATCCCCCTCCCCCCAGGCCCTTGGTGTAACTGTGTCTGGGAGGGTTGGGATTGAGGGACAACAGCAGGATTGTGGGAGGGAGCCCAGCGCTGGTCTAACAGGGGGCTGCGGATCGGGATTGAAGGGCACCACTAGAGCTGTGTTTCAGAGTAGCAGCCGTGTTAGTCTGTATCCGCAAAAAGAACAGGAGTACTTGTGGCACCTTAGAGACTAACATTTATTTGAGCATAAGCTTTCGTGGGCTACATCCGAAGAAGTGGGCTGTAGCCCACGAAAGCTTATGCTCAAATAAATTTGTTAGTCTCTAAGGTGCCACAAGTACTCCTGTTCTTTTTACTAGAGCTGTGGGGGCTCTGTGCTCACACCTGTCCCCAGGGCTGGCCGTGCTCCTCGCTGCACAGCTCCAGCTCTGGGGGAGGCAAGAGACTGGCTGTGAACACGGGTGGAGGGTGCTGAAGCGCAAGAGGAAATTCTCCTTCCTCTTTGTGTGGCTTGGGCAGTTCCTATCCCCCGCCCCCTCTCCACCCCCCCCAGGCCCAGGCCCAGGCCCAGATCCCTCTCCCTGGTCTCTGGCTGGGGCAGGGGGCATGGACTGGAAAGGGGGGGGCACTTGGTGAGATTTTCCAGTTGGGGGGAGAATCCCAGGGTGGGGGTTGGAGGGAAGGGTCAGGTGGTGACCCCAATCAGGTGGTGAGCTGGGAGAAGGGTGGGTTTGGGATCGGGGGGTGGGTTTGTTGGGTGGGTAGAGCTGTGTGGCAGGGGTGGGGGTTGGGGGTGTCATGTTTTGGTGGGGGATGGGAGGAGGCTGGGGTTCCCCAGTGGGTTTGGGTTTGGAGTTGGTGTTGGGGGCTGGGGTGGGGTTGGGTGGGGGTTAGGAATCCGGAATCGTCCTGGTCAGTTGGGGCTTCCTGGGAGTGGAGGGTACCTGGTGGGTTGGGATCTTTGGGGTGGTGGTGTCAGGATTGGGAGCGGGGAGGAGTCCCCGGTGGGCTGGGTTTGGGAAGGGGATTGGAGTCAGGGGCTGGGGTCTCTGGTGGATGGGGATCCATGGGGGAAAGTCAGAAATGGGGATTGCCGGGGGCTTGGAGATAGGGGCCAGGATCCACCAGTCAGACAGCGGTTTCTAAGCGGCTGGGGGTCCCCAGTGGTTTTTTCCCCGGGCCCCCTGGCTGGCGTGGTGGGACACTTCCCCTTTCTGCCATTGGTAGCTAACAGCCTCCAGCAGGAAGCCCCTGTCACTTCCTTCCCCGCCCACGCTGGCGTTTGTGGTTTCCGCGCCAGTACGCCCCGCGCTCCCCTGCCTCCTCCCCTGTGCTCCCCTGCCTGCTTCGCACTGCCTGGCCTCTTGCCCAACTAACCCTGTGAACTACAGCCTACCCAACGGGGTGGGAGCTGGCAGCACCTGGAGCCGTTTAACCGCAGGGCCCCCAGGGCTTGGATGGAGCCACCCAGAGAGCCTTGTGGCCCAGCCTGGCTCTGGGGAGAGGCCTGCTGCTACTGTCCCATTGTGGGGAATCAGCCCTCTCTGGCGGTGACCACACTAGGGGTGCTGGGCAGAAAATAGCCCACTGTTGCTACCACTGGTATAGACGGGAGCTGGATCTGAGGGAGTCAGGAGGGATTGCATGACTCGGGTGCAGGGAATGGGACATGGGGCCTTTGCCCTCTAGAGGGCACTGGCTACTATCCAGCCCCAGGATGGGGGGCTGGCTGGCTCCGGAGGTTGGGGGGCTGGCTGGCTCCGGAGGTTAGGGGCCGGGTTAAGGGCTCTGCGGCCCTGACTCTCTCCTTGTTTCCCAGGGTACCTGCTGTTCCGGGATTTCTGCCTGAATCAGGTGGAGGAGGCCAAGCCGCTCGTGGAGTTCTATGAAGAGGTGAGGCCTTGTGGGGGCTGACACACCGGGGTTTCCCTATCCCCACCCAGCAGGGAGGGGGAAGGGTAAATTCCCACCCTGTGGGGTGTTAGGGTGGCTGCTGAAAGGCTCCCCTGCCCTCTGGGGTGTTGGGGGCTCCCAGCCATGGCTTTGCAGCCTGCCCCACAGTGACACTGTGCCCCCTGCCTCCCAGATTAAGAAATATGAGAAGCTGGACTCGGAGGAGGATCGAGCTGCCAAGAGCCGCCAGATTTTTGACCAGTACATCATGAAGGAGCTGCTGTCCTGCTCCCATGTGAGTGCGCCACCCCGGGGGGGACCCAGAAACCACCATAGACCTTGCCGGAGGGGACACACCCCCAAAACCATCACAGACCCTGCCCAGGGGGACCCCAGAAATCTCCAGAAGGGACCCCGAAGACCTTCAGAAACTCTGCCTCACAGGTGACCCTGAAGCAGTCACAGACCCTGCCCTGGATGGGGACCCTACACTGCTCCCCCAGCCCTCCCATCCTGGCCTGAGAGTTGGATTTCTCCTTGTTCATACAGTCCAGGGTCTCCCCTGGTGCCCCAGCCCTGCCCTGTGAGCTACCACGGGATGGGGGTGGGGATAACCCAGCCCCCGGACCTGCCCTGACCACCCGAGAGGGGTTGTGAGGGCCACACAGACTTTCATTTCTCCACTGCTTTCCCCACAGCCCTTCTCCAAGAGCGCCACAGAGCATGTGCAGAGCCGGCTCAGCAAGAAGCAGGTGCCACCAGACCTATTCCAGGTGTGTGTCCCCACCCCCATCTCCCTACCAACCCCACAGGGACAGTCCCACAGCCCCTGAGGTGCCAGGCCAGCCCCACGGGCCCCTCTAGCCCCAGGGCCCCCTTTGGTGCCGAGCCAGCCCTATAGGCCCCTCTAGGGTAGCGCTGCACCAATCAGTCCCATGGGTCCACCTAGCGCAATATTTCCTCCCCAGCTACACCAGATCAGAGCAATGAGCCCCTCTAGCCTGGTCTCCTGCCCCTTCCTGGTGCTGTGTGGGAGGGGGTTGCTGTCAGGGATGGGTAAGGTGGGTGGGGCTGCCCTGTCGGCCAGGGGAGGGAGAGATACTAAGAAGCTCTGATGCAGGGGAGAGCAGGGGGGTTGACAGGCCCCAAGAGAAGGGTGTCCCATCTCACTTCCCCTGGGGGAGGAGGCCCCAGTACAGGTAGGAGAGGGGAAAGGAATTTCCTGACATGGCCCATCCCACTGGGGGTGGGTGGGGTTCCCCGCTGGTTCCTTTCTTCCCCGCGCTGACCCTCATGTCTCCCCAGCCGTACATTGAGGAGATCTGCCAGAACCTGCATGGGGCCATCTTCCAGAAATTCATCGAGAGGTGAGAGGAGCCACCTGCCGTGGGGGCTGGCTGTGGGCCTGGAGGTTCTCTTTCTGCAGGGACCATGGCAGGCGGGGAATGGGGAGGTCTCTGCACAGGGCTGAGGGAGTCTCTCTGGTTGGGGGGATGAGCAACCTCTCTCTGCAAGGGTCTCTCTGGGAGGAGGTATGGGGTGTCTCTCTGCAGGACTATGGGGGTCTTTCTGGGTGAGAGGGATGGGTGGTCTTGCTGCAGGGCTATGCAGGGGCGGTCTCTGCAGGCTGGGGTGATGGGGTCTCTGCAGGCCCATGGGTGGGTTTCTCTGTGGGGGCCTCTGTAGTTTTTTCACCTCTTTCTGTTTTGTTATAGTGACAAATTCACCCGCTTCTGCCAGTGGAAGAATGTGGAGCTGAACATCCATGTGAGTGTCTCCCAGGGCATAAGAACATAAGAACGGCCACACTGGGTCAGACCAATGGTCCATCTAGCCCATTATGATGTCTGCAGACAGTGGCCAGTGCTAGGTGCTTCAGAGAGAATGAACAGAACAGGGCAATTATCCAGTGAGCCATCCTCTGTCATCCAGTCCCAGCTTCTGGCAAACAGAGGTTTAGGGACATCCAGAGCAGGGGGTCTTGACTAATAACCACTGATGGACCTATACTATTGGCTGTCACAACATCCCCTGGCAAAGAGTTCCACAGGCTGACTGTGCGTTGTGTGAAGCACTTCCTTATGTTTTTTTAAACCTGCTGCCTAGTAATTTCACTGGGTGACCACTGGTTCTTGTGTTATATGAAGGGGTAAATAACGCTTCCTTATTCACTTTTTCCACACCAGTCATGATTTAATAGGCCACCAGCATATCCCCCCTTAGTCGTCTCTTTTCTAAGTTGAACAGTCCCAGTCATTTTAATCTATCCTCATATGGAAGCTGTTCCCGACCTCTCATCATTTTTGTTGCCCTTCTTTGAACTTTTTCCAGTTCTAACTTATAATTTTTGGGTTGGGGTGACCAGAACTGCACTCAGTATTCAAAGTGTGGGTACACCATGCATTTATAGAGTGGCAGGTTCTATCTGGGGGGGGCCTGGCCTGAGCAAGGGAGGGGGCTGTAGTCCATCTTGGGGGGCTTGGCCTGGGAGGATTGGCGATTTGTATTTGGGAGGTAGACTTGTCTGGAACTGCATCCCATTTCCATGTGCCCCTTGCCCAGCACAGTGACCCCCACTGCCCCTACCCCACCGCCCAGCTCCCTATGGAGCCCCCGGGTCCCAACCTAACCCCACTGCTACCGAATCATCCCACCCCCTGGGGCTATGCTCGTTGTGGGGGAGTTTGTGGGGGGCAGTAGCTGTGGGGCAGGGGCCTTAAACACATAGGGGAGGGAGGTGTCCCAGGGTGAAGGGATAAGTTTGGGGGGGGTGCCACCCTTAAGACTATTCCCCAGTGCCCTCCTTTAACATCACCCCACCCTGGGATCTGTCCCACACCCTCCTATTCTCTGCCTGGCCCTGGGGGCAAGGGGTCTCCTCAGCCCTGCCACATTGCAAGCTGGGGCTCCCTGGCTCGTATTGTGCGAGCCCCAAAATTCAGATGCAGGTTGAGATCCAAGCCACCACTCCTCCTCCAGGGCTTAGGGGGAGCACAGGGTGCAGGGGAGGTTTCCCCTCAATTCTACAATGAAAGTGCTTGCATCGGTGGGAATGGCCAGGGAACAGGTGCTATTGTTCCGATGAATGGTTTCATTGTGCTGGGTGCTCTGCATACATGCACACATAGAGAAAAGCTGGGCCTGCCCCCCCCCCCGCAAATATACAATCCAGACATAGGACAGACTATTCTCCCTGCTTTGTATCTGGGGAAACCGAGGCACAAATGGGGTGGCGGAAGGGAGAGTGACTTGCTCCACATCACCCAGGGAGTCAGTGGCAGAGCTGGGAACTGAATCCAGGAGTTCTGAGTCTGAGGCCTTAATGCCAAGCCCAGCCTCTCGCTCCCTGCCTAGGCATGGGGTGCTCTGAGAGCCCACGCTGCATTGTGCAATGTTCCATGAGTTTGCGGCAGTACAATACAATTAATGTCTGGATTCCTCCCCACCCTCACCCACTCTCCCCCTGCCGTGGGCCCAGCTGACCATGAACGACTTCAGCGTGCACCGGATCATCGGCCGCGGTGGCTTTGGAGAGGTGTATGGTTGCCGGAAAGCGGACACGGGCAAAATGTAATTAGCCAACACCAGGGGTGGGGCCCCCGGGGAGATGAACTGCGCAGGATATCTGCTGGGATTCCCCTGGGGGTGGGGTATTATAGTCAGGATGTGGAAGGATATCTGCTAGGAATCTGGGGGGACAGGCGGAGGGGTGGTAGTATACTCGGGAGGTGGAAGGATATCTGCTGGGATTGTCTAGGCATTGGGGTGGGGGATATTATAGCCAGGAGGCGGAGGGATATCTGCTGGGAATCTGGGGAGTGTGTGTGTATTATAGCCTGGAGACAGAGGGATATCTGGTGGGGAGGGGTATTATAGCCAGGGGGTGGAGGAATATCTGTTGGGTTTTGCGGGGGGAATATCTGCTGAGATGGGGGGGGGGGCTGGAGCTGAGGGGGCTGGAGCTGTGAGAGTGAGGGAGGGTTGTTGTGGTCCCGGGGCAAGGGAGGATACCAGTGGTGCTGGTGTTGCCCTGGCCATGACAGGTGGAGGGATACCTTCAATGAGAAGGAGGGTACTGTGGAAGTAGGAGAGATGAAAGGATACTTGTCATTACTGAGGTTGCCATGACCATGGGGGAGACAGGGTTTTTTGCGGGGGGGGGGGGGGGGGGCCCGGGGCCACGGGGGGGGGGGGGATAGGGGGATTTGCTGTGGGAGGTGGAGGGATACCAGGGGCAACAGGCATGGAGATTCGCCATGGGAGGCAGAAGGATACCGGGGTGAGGGAATTGCTGTGGGAGGCAGGGGCGGAGGGATGAGGAGTGTGGAGATTTGCCTTGGGGATAGCAGCAGGGATTATTTTCTCTCTCTTGGGGCAGGTACGCCATGAAATGTCTGGACAAGAAGCGCATTAAGATGAAGCAGGGGGAGACGCTGGCCCTAAATGAGCGCATCATGCTGTCTCTCGTCAGCACCGGGGTGAGAACAGCTCTCCACACGCCAGGCACCGCAGCTATGGGGCCTGCCTGACCAGGCCAGCCTCGCCACAGGGCATACATGGGGTGGGGGTGTGTCAGAACAGGGCAAGCCCAATCTAAGGTAAAGAGGGGGCCTAGGTCTGGGGACAGCAGTGGAGGCGGTTAGCACAGGGGAGGGCAGGAGTGAGTGTGCTCAGAGCAAGGGGGGTGCAGGTGAGCGGTCGGGAGCACATGGGGGGGGACAGGGAGTTTGAGGGGGCAACACGTTAGGGATGGTAGCACACATAGGATTGAGGGGTGGGGCAGCGTGGAGGTTGGTGGGGGGCAGCATGCAGGGGAGCATGCAGTGGGGCGGGGGCAGCACGTGGGGCAGTGTGGTGGGAGGGGGAATCTATGGGAGGGCAGTGCAAGGGGGAATATAGGGGGCAGCATGTAGGGAGAAGTGTGGGGCAGGGATGGAGCATGTGGGGGGGGGTGGATCATGTTGGGGGGAGGGGAGCCTGTGGTGGTGCAGTTTGTGGGGTTCCCTCTTTCGGTGGGTGATCCATCTCGCCCTCTCGCCCCAGGACTGCCCCTTCATCGTGTGTATGTCCTACGCCTTCCATACCCCTGACAAACTCAGCTTCATCCTGGACCTGATGAATGGTGAGAACCCCCTGCTATCCTTGGGGAACCCCCCAGCCTCCACACTGCCCCCCCTTACAATTAATAATACACCCGGTCTCAAGCTACGCGCCACTGTCCGGTGCTGCACACGCTTAGTGAGAGAGTGCATGCCCAAAGAGCTTGCTGTCCACACAGACAGAGAGCGGGAGGGGAACCAGGGCACGGAGCGTAGATGTGATTTGCCGAAGGAGTCTGTGGTAGGGCTGGGGATTGAACCCAGGAGTTATAGTTCCCAGCCTGGTGTTCTAGCCACTAGGCAATACTGCCACCCCCTGCATGGCCCACGCTGTCTTTCCTGTGGGGCAGGGCCTTGTGTTGACCAGGATGTCGGCTGTCTCATGCAGGGGGCGACTTGCATTACCACCTGTCTCAGCACGGGGTCTTTTCTGAGGCCGAGATGCGCTTCTACGCTGCCGAGATCATCCTGGGCCTGGAGCACATGCACAACCGCTTCGTGGTGTACCGGGACCTCAAGGTAGCCCCACCCCCTCCCACCACGGAGGGGTGTCTCCCACCCTCCCACACCAGGACCTCAAGGTAATCCCATCCCCTCCTGGAGCCCTGCCCCATCCCACCATGGGTGTCCCCTCCTCCCACACTGGGATCTCAAGGTAACCCCTCCTCCTCCCACCTTGGTTGTCCATCCTCCCACACCAGAACCTCAGTGTCACGCTGACTGGAGTGGTTCATGACCTCAGGGCAGAGACCCATGGGGGTGGGGGTGTTCTATAATTACGTTTCACCAACCCCGTAAACAACTGTGAACTCCTAAAGCACTATACCAGTCTTACCATGGAGTCACAGCCAGTCCCCTTGGGCATGCCAGTCTATGTTGCCTCCAGGTCAGCTGGACTTAGTGATGGTTCGTTGTTATACACCAAAGCTCACAAAATATTCAGGTTGCTTCTAGTCCCGAGAGATCAGACACTTCCCCCAAGTCAATCTGTACCTCAGATCTCACACCAAAGACAATGCCTGTAGCCAGTCCTATAGTAAACGAACTAAGGATTTATTAACTAGGAAAAAGAAATGAGTGAGTTACTTACAGATTAGAGCAGGCAAACATGTATACACCAATGAGTGTCAGCTTTTGGAACCATAGACTGCAAGAGATGTAGTAATCTGTGAGCTCTGAATGTCTTTTAGGGCTAAACCAGGTTGACCCTGGGGATCTCTGCTTCTGTTTCCTGGCTCCAGTCCTGTGAGAGGCCAAACAGCAAAGAGATCAAAAATTTTCATGTCTGCTATCTTTATTTTCTTCTTCCAGAATTCAAGCTGATGGGATGAGCCTTTTGCACATAGCTTGTGCAGGGGCAAGTAGCAGTCTTTGTATTGTGATGTCCCACAGTGAACCATTTAGTTTTGATAGCCCTTCCTGATGGGCAAGAGGTAATGCCTTTCATAGCGATTTAGCATTTTCCACTAGGCAAAGTTTTGTTCTTGTCTGGTGAGTTACATAGTTCAGAGCAAAAATTTTATAGCTCTACAGCACACACTTAAGTTTCACCTGACAACGTGGGATACAGACATTATAAGCAGGATTAATACATGTAGCAATGTACAAGCATTTCATGAAGTCTAAATATATTGTTATAAGCCCGACACCTGTCTGACCCATACTGACACACAGGTGAGCTGGACAGGTTTCCAGCAATGAATATGTCTGTGTTTGGCTGAGGCCTAAAGCCTTGGCGAGAGCCAGCACCTGGTTTGCCAGCATCACACCCTTCTCCTCCCACCACTGGTATCTCCCATCCTGCCACACCTGGACCTTAAGGTAAACCCGCTCCGTCGTCCCACCCCTTCCACCACGGGGGTTCTCCCATGCTAGGGCCTCAGGGTAACCCTGCCTGCTCCCTCATGGGGTTTCCATCTGCTCAGCCCCCACGGGGGGTGGTGCTTGGAGATCTCAGGGTGAGAGCAGAGCCCCCATTCCAGGACCCCACCTCCATGGTTGGTGAAGTTAAGGGGAGAAGGGCAGGAGTGAGGGACTGGCTTTGCCCAGCTCCCACCCGCTGGCTTCCCTCCCATTCACAGAGCATTTCAGATGCTGCATTTCCCCTCCATCCCCAACCTGGGTCTCCCTGTCCCATCACCCTGGCTCATGGGGCTGCTCTCCTCTCTCTGCAGCCAGCAAACATCCTGCTGGACGAGTTCGGTCACGTCAGGATCTCGGACCTGGGACTGGCCTGTGATTTCTCCAAGAAGAAGCCTCATGCCAGTGTGTAAGTGTCCAGGAGCTCCCTTCACAGTCAGTGCCCCCTGCTCGCTCCCTACAGTGCCCCAGGCTGGGAGAGGCTGGGGCTGGAGTAGCCGGGAGCTCCCTTCACAGCCAGCGCTCCTGCCCTGCCCCCTGCAGCACTCCCTGCTGGGAGAGGCTGGGTTTGTAGTGGTTCTGTGATGGCTCTTTGGCGCCCCCTGCAGGGAGAGTGTGGCACTTCAGCTCCTGGGCTGGGCCATCGCTCTGTTGTACTCGGACCCCCTTCTCTGCCTATCTCTCTCCCCCCACATGCTCCCACAGTGGCACGCATGGGTACATGGCGCCGGAGGTGCTGCAGAAGGGTGTGGCATATGACAGCAGTGCTGACTGGTTCTCCCTGGGCTGCATGCTCTTCAAGCTGCTGCGGGGGTGAGTAAGCAAGCGATCTTGGGGGATGGAGGGGGTGCATGTGGGACAGAGGCACCCGTGGGGCAGGGATATGGCATGGGCAGCGTGTGACCACCCTCTCCCCTCCCATCGCAGGCACAGCCCCTTCCGGCAGCACAAGACCAAGGACAAACATGAGATCGACCGCATGACCCTGACCATGGTGAGTGGGGGAGCTCTGGCGGGGGGATCAGGTGCAGACAGGATCTCTGCCCTCCTCAGGGCTGCACGGAGAGGGGCCTCGACCCATCTGCACAAGCCAGTGCCCTGTCGCTCCAGGCCAGGAACAGCCCTGCTCTTCAGCTCTGAGCCCATTGTACCTGCCGCCCGTCCCTCTGGTCCTCAGCCAGGGCCCTGCCTAGCCCAACCATACACACCCCACTCCATGGACCCGAGCCTGGCCCCGCCCTTCAGCCCCTGAGCAGAGTGGAGCTCCAGTGTGGCTGTGTGGATGAGACTGCCCCCTGCTGGCTGGGATTGTGTGTGTGTACACAACTGCCCCCTGCTGGCTGGGTTTGGAACTGCAGTGTGCCTCCAGCCCCAGGAAGGGTCTGTCCAGCTCCCAGGGCTGGGAATTGGCCCCGCCCCATAAAATAATCCTCTCCCCTCCCCCACAGCCTGTAGAGTTGCCCGACTCCTTCTCGCCTCAGCTGCGCTCCCTGCTGGAAGGGCTGCTCCAGAGAGACGTCAACCGGAGGCTGGGCTGCATGGGGCATGGGTGAGTCCGTGACTGGGGAGCAGGGGGGCTTTGCCACATCCTGGGGACCCAGCAAGCATGTGGCAGGAGCCAGCCCAGGAAGGATGGATGCATTGGGCTACCGTCCCCCAACTGGAAGAGACCCATCCCTCAGCCTGAGTGGCGCTGTTTGCATAGGACCTACAGAAATAGTCACTGTGTTGTTAGAACAGGTAGCTCCGGAGCTCCCCCTGCTGGCATGGCAGCCCCATCTCTCTCTGCCTCTACCGCCATGCTCCAGTCCTTCCCCTGCTAGAATTGGACCCCTTGGCTCCAGCATAGGTTGTGGCATCCTTTGCCCCTCATGTGGGGGGGCCAGAGGGACCCTCAGGCCAGCTCTGCTGACCCACCTCGCCCCTGGTCTTCCTCCCCAGGGCACAAGAGGTGAAGGAGGATCCCTTCTTCCAGAGCCTGGACTGGCAGATGGTTTTCCTGCAGAAGGTAAGTGGGGTGGGTAGGGAGAGCGGCTGGGGAAGGAGAGGGACAGGGGCATGTGGCGGGTGCTGCTGTCCTGTCCCCCCAGATTCTCTAACGCCTCTCCTGATCCCGCAGTACCCACCGCCCCTGATCCCGCCACGTGGGGAGGTGAACGCGGCTGACGCCTTCGACATTGGATCTTTCGATGAAGAGGACACAAAAGGGATCAAGGTACCGGAGGGACCTCATGGGGGTTAGCACAGCTCCCCCGCTGGAAAGGGCAGGGCTGAGCCATGCAGGCTACTCTCCCTCTCTGGTGCAGGCTCCCATCCCCTCTCCCAGCACAAGCTCAGACCTGCTGCGGCTGGGGGAGAGGCACCTCTCACCCCACAGCCCAGATGCTGCTGCGGGGAGAGAGAGCTGAGGGGAGTCATCTGTAGCCACTGGGCAGCCTGCACTCCAAACCCCTCATCCCTGGCCCCACCCTAGAGCCTGCACTCCAACTCTCTGCCCCAGCCCTGGTCCCTCATCCCCAGCCCCACCCCAGAGCCCTCTCCTCCCCTCCCTCGCACCCCAATCCTCTGCCCCAGCCCCACCACATGAATTTTGTTATGTGCACCAATATTCATTCTGCACATGCATGGGAAAAATTAGAGGGGGAACATTGCTTCCCACCTGGCCCTTTACTCTCTCTGGAGCCGCAGTTCCCTATTGTGGAGGGAGAGGAGGTCCCTTCACCTTCCCACCAGCCCCCCGCCCCCCCCCCCACCACCCAGCCCTTCCCCCAGAGAGCTTGATGCCGGGAGAGGGTGTGGGGGATACCCAGCCACCTGGGTTGGGGGAGCCCCCAGCTGCCCGCCCACCCGCCGTCTTTCTGTCGTCCCCAGCTGTTGGACAGCGACCAAGAGCTGTACCGCAACTTCCCGCTCACCATCTCAGAGCGCTGGCAGCAGGAGGTGACGGAGACTGTCTTTGATGCTGTCAATGCTGAGACCGACAAGCTGGAGACCCGCAAGAAGGCCAAGAACAAGCAGCTGGGCCACGAGGAGGGTGAGTGGGGGAGCCCCCTCCCCACGGTGCCCCCTGCTGGGAGATGCATGCCGTGGCCGGCCCCCGCTCCCCACGGTGCCCCCTGCTGGGAGATGCATGCCGCGGCCGGCCCCCGCTTCCCATGGTGCCCCCTGCTGGGAGATGCCTACTATGGCCAGCTCCTGCTCCCCACGGTGCCCCTGCTGGGAGATCCATCCTCCACCAGGGCCTACCTTGCTCCCTACAGTGTCCCCTGCTGGTAGGGTGACCAGACAGCAAGTGTGAAAAATCGGGACGGGGGTGAGGGGTAATAGGAGCCTATATAAGAAAAAGCCCCCAAAATCGGGACTGTCCCTATAAAATCGGGACATCTGGTCACCCTACCTGCTGGGAGCTTTCCCACATGGCCAGCCCCACTCACCATCGCTCCCCACCTTCTCTACAGCCAACCCCCCTCCCTATAGTGTGCCCCATTGGGGGAGGCTGAGGCTGGAGTAGCTGGAAGTACCCCCACAGCCAGCATTCCTGCCCCGCTCCCTACAGCGCCCCCTGCAGGCACTTCCCTGTGTGTTGACGGCTGGCTGGTGCTGCGATCTGACTCTCTCTCTGTCTCTCCCCGGCACAGACTACGCCTTGGGCAAGGACTGCATCATGCACGGCTACATGTCCAAGATGGGCAACCCCTTCCTGACGCCATGGCAGCGGCGATACTTCTACCTGTTCCCCAACCGGCTGGAGTGGCGAGGGGAGGGCGAATCCCCGGTAGGGAGCTGAGGGCAAGGCCTGGGGTCCTGGGGAGGGGGGTTCTTGGTAGTGGTGGGGGGAGCCATGGTCTCTCTCTGAACCCCTGGCGCTCTGTCCCCTGCAGCAATCCCTGCTCACCATGGAGGAGATCCTATCTGTGGAGGACACTCAGATTAAGGAGCGCAAATGCATCCTCCTCAAGACCCGGGAGCACAGGCAGCTCATCCTGCAGTGTGATGTGAGTGCGCCCCCTCCCCCGCCACTGGCACCCTCTACTGGGCCAGGGCTACACCATGTCTCTGTTCCCCGCCCCCCATCCCGGTTGTCCACTCCCTAGGGCTGCTCCTTCCCCGTCCTGAGCTCCCATGGTTAATAATGCATCCTGTCCGTGAGCCCAGACCCCTCCGTGGTGCTCCCGTGGCTAACCCCGCCCCCCCGCCTGTGACCCCTGACCCCCCCCCGGTGCTTCTGTGGCTGACCCCTGACCCCTCTGTGTTGCTCCTGTGGCTAACCCCGCCCCCTGGCCATGACCTCTGATCCCTCCGTGGTGCTCCCATGGCTAACCCCACCCCCCGTCCTGTCACCCGGCAGAGCGACCCTGAGCTGGTGCAGTGGAAGAAGGAGCTGCGCGACGCCTACCACGAGGCCCAGCAGCTGCTGCAGCGGGTGCCCAAGATGAAGAACAAGCCGCGCTCGCCCATAGTGGAGCTCAGCAAGGTGCCACTGCTGCAGCGCTCCAGTGCCAACGGCCTCTGACCCCCATGCCCCCCTTCTCCCCCGGCTTTAATTTATTGGGTTGGGTTTTACTCGCACCCCCAGCGGAACCGTAACTGTTAATTTGCTGATCCTTGTGACTCCCGCCCTGCCCCCTGCTGGAGGGGGTGGGGCATGTGGAGGGGGTGGGGCAGACTCCCCCCTCCCCTGATTTGGGGATGGATCCTGCCTTCTGGATCCATTTCTCCTCTCCTTCCCATCTCAGCTCATGGGGCAGGGGCCATGCTGGCCTTGCCCCCAGCAGGATGGGGGATGCAGGGATCACAGGGAGGAACTTCCTCTTTGGCACTTAACTTCCTGCTTTCTCTCTCCATTATCAAATCGCTGCTGGTGCTGGAGAGCTTGGGCGGGGCATGGCCCAGATCCCTGGCACGCTAGAGGGCTCTGCCAGCAGGGGCGTTATGGCCCAGGGCATGCCCTTCCCAGCCTGTAGAATGCAGTGAGCATTGGGGAATGGGGGACAGACTTGCCTCCAGTCCCTTCTCCATGGGTTCCCAGCTCTTACTGGAAGGGATTCCAGCCCCAGCAATGCTGTCCCATGGCTGAGGACCCACGGTGCCATCCGAGAGCCTTGGGGCTCAGGATTGGCCAAGGGCCCAAAGGGGTGGGGGTTAGGTGTGGAAGGAGCTTAACTGCCTGGCAGGATCAGGCTGGAGGGCCACCGACTCCAAGAGGAAGAGTCACATTAGGAATGAACAATGAATTATCTGATGGAGGCAAACACCCATGCCTCCACACCCCAGCAGCCTCTGCCCACGCCGACAGCCCTCAGCCCTGGGCTCTTGCCCCCACTGTGCCAGTGCCCCTCAGTCCTGACCCCACAGCCCCACCCTCCCCGCTATTGCATTGCTGGGTTGCCCGTCCCCCAGGGTATTTATAATAAATTGTGCCAAATAGCAAGGTGCCAGTCCCTCACCTGGCAACTCGTTTCACCCATGAGCGATGCCAAACCCAGGTCTGTGCAGGTGGAAGTGCCCCCATTGGGCCACATCTCTGCCCTCCCAGGGAGACGGGCGCTTTGCTGGGCCCTAGCCTTGGGGGCGCCTGGGCCTCGTGCCAAAGGAGAAGGAAGAGTTGCCTGATGCCAGTGCTGTCAGGCTGGCTGGGGTGGGGGCCGAGCTTTGTGTGTGTGTGGGGGGGGGGGTGTTTGCCCCGCAAGCCGGGGGGCCAGTGCCAACACCAAGTGCTGTGTGTCTGAGTGCTGCCTCTGCTGCCCTCTCCCATTCATAGCCCCCTGTATTATCGCTCCAGCCAGACACCCCACTCCTCTCCCCTCCCCCATTCAGTGTTATAACCCAACCCCCACACAGGGTCAGGAGGCTCTTGGGGTGACTTAACCCTGGGTTCCTTTCCACCCCCTCCATGGCGGGGTAGGAGAGAGGGCAGGGTATGGGGGGAGCATTTGGCAAGGGGAGTGGGGGAAGGGTCTCCCTTCCCCTGTTCCCCCACATCTCCATGGTCTCCCAGCCCTGAACCGCATGCGAACCTGGCTGTGCTGCATGCGCCCCCCCCCCCCCCCCCATGTGTTGAGTTCTGCCCGTTCTGCCAATGGCTCTTTTTTTCCCCCTTGGGGGGCGATTTTCTTGGGGGGGGGGTTGCCTCTCCCCCCTCGCAGTGTCTGTAAATATTGGTTTCTGGTCCGTCTCTTCTCGGGGTTATTAATTTTTTGGCCGATTTTTGAATGTGATTTTAACAAGTGGAGAGGAAAAAAAGATAACTGAGTTTTTATAATAAAAAAGTGAAAAAATGGAGCTCTGCCTGTGGCGGCCAGCCTGCGGGACGGGCTGGGCTGGGGCAACTCAGAGCCGGGGACCCCACCCCTTCTGGCAGCCTCCTAGACAGGGGTCACTGAGGATCCTGCTCCATGGAGGTGGTACACAATGGGGGGCTCAGCTGGGAGATCCTGGGCCTTGGGGGGCAGGAAGGGTTGTGGAGGGCTCAGTTGGGGGATCCTGGGCCATGGGGTTGTATGTGGAGGGGGGTACATGCTAGGGGATCTAGTGCTTTCAATGCTGAGTCGCAGCTCCCCCAGCTCTGCCAATGCATCCCTTCCCCCCATCAGTTTCGGTTCCCCCCTGCTGGGCCTTGGGGGTGTATCAAACCCCCCCCCCCCCCCCCCCCCCCAGGCAGCTGTTTCTGGGCTACAGGAGCAACCCCTTGCCCACCTAATCTCCTGGTCTGAGAAAAAGGTCCTCGGGCCCAGCAAAGAGCCCCGTGTTTCTGCTGGGTAGGCTCAAAGCCAGTGGGTCCCAGGGGCAGCCCCTCTGTGCCCACCTCCCCCAGCATCCCAGAGCCAGCTCCACCCTGGTTTCCAAACCACCCAGTGGCTAATGAGCTGGCAGCAAACTGTTGCCATGGCCCATGCCTGGCTGGAATGGGAACTGCAGGGCTGTGTCTCTCCCTGTTTTCCCCATGCTCCAGGCCTGTGTTCGCTTCAGAAGCTGCTGGGCCCTTGTCCTGCCACCATTCCCTCCCCAGGGATTCGCTTCAAGGCAAACAATGGCTCCAAGATGCTGAATGGGGGAAAGGAGGTTCCAGCTGAGAGATGGATTTAACCAGCTGTAATAGAACAAGGCAACAGCCAGGCAGTGTTAGTCCCTTCTCCGGCTCAGGCAGCCGGCAGCACCTGCCCCAGAGCAAAGCAGACAGGCAGGGCTGGCTCTGAATGCTTGGGGGGGTGGGGGGGGGGGGCGGCAGTGGAGGTGCTGTGCTGAAGGGAGCAGGGTGGGGATTCAGTAGAGGGCATTTTGTCCCCTTGCAGTCAGTACTGACCCCAATGTACCTGCAGGGTGCTGTGCTGTGGGGGTGGGGTCTTTCTCATGCCTAGCCAATCTGTGCCTTGTGCCCCTTGTGGTGGGTAAAGATCCCTGGCATGTTTGGGGAGAAGCAAGTTCATCATCCTGGCTTCCTGGCCAGCTTGACTGACTCCAGCCTGCCTCCCTGCATTCCTTCGTTGGCATTCCATCACTGCCTTTCCTAACCTCTCATTATCCCTGCAGAAGGTAGTGCCCTGTACCCTGCGGGGGGGGGGGGGCACCTCCCCAGATCCAGACGCCTTCCTGCCAAACCAGCTCTGCCTGCAAACAGGAAGCACAGATGGCAGCAGTGCTTGCATCACAGCAGCCGACCCAGCCTCCCTGAGATCCTCCAAGCTGGCCTGAAGCAGCCAGGGTGCCCAGGGTAGCCAAGTCCTGGGACTGCAGCAAATGCAGGACCCCGAATGGGGAGATGCCTCAGCAAGCCCTCAGGCTGAGGTGTTGTATGGGTGGGAAGCAAACAGAGCAAAAGGTGACCATTCCTGCTAGCCAGTCTCTTGTGATGGGTGTTGCTCTGGTCTTTTAAACAGCCACTATGGCACACCCCAGAGGTGACTGCATCTCATTGTTCGGTAATGCTTATATATATGGCTGCTGCATCCCACCCCAGAGGTGGCTGCATCTCAGTGCTTGATAATATTTACATCTGCTGCTGCTGCATCTCAGTGTTGGGTATTATTTATATATATGGCTGCATCTTAGTGCCTGGTTTTAGTTATATATATAGCTACTGCATCCCACCCCAGAGATGGATGCATCACAGAGCCCGGTGTTACTTATGTAGAGAGCTGCTGCATCCCACCCCAGTAGTCGCAGCATCTCAGTGCTGGTTGACACATATATGCTGCAGCTGCATCCCACCCCAGAGGCACCTGCATCTCAGCACCAGGTGAAGGATCCCAGTGTAAACAGCTGCTGTGCCATGCCCCAGAAGAAGCTGCATCTTAGTGCTGCTGGCTTAAGCAATTCCACCCTCCTGCTATGTAGCTGGTTAAAGCACTTTTTGGTCAGCCAGGATGAACAGTGTTGCAAAAAGGGGATGAGCCAATTTGAGGCTGATTTCACTGGAAACTACATTCCACCTCTAGCCCCCCGCCCTCCCAAAATACCCTTTGGCCTAGGGGAAGATGCACTAGACTGGGATCCAGGAGCTCAAATCTTGCCTCTTCCACTAACCTGTGTTAACCATTTCCGTAACCCTAAGCAAGTCCCTGCCCCAGGGAGGCAGGTCTTAGCTCTCCCCCCGCCCGGGGTTCCTGTGAGTTTTCACAAGTGACCATGTAATTAGAGCCTGTAGCACAATGCACCCACGCAAAGGGGCAGCGGTAAGGCTGCAGGTATTTATTTGCATGGTAGTAGCACAGGAGCCCAGCAGTGGACCAGGATCCCTGTTGTGCTAAGTGCTGTACACACAGAACACAGTCCCTGCCTCAAGGAGCTGCCAGTCACAGGGTACAGTGTCACAGCCTGGGGAGGTGGCAGACCTATGCTAGCCCTAACCTAGCCGGGGCAGGGAAGAAAAGCCATGAGGATATGATGGCATGGGCTAGCTACCCCAATACCAGCCTGTTCGGGAAACTGACTACAGGCTGCAGGTGCCAAGAGTCTTGGCATGGCCAAGCCTCCATGCATCTGAAGAAGTGGGTTTTTACCCATGAAAACTTATGCCCAAATCAATCTGTTAGTCTTTAAGCTGCTTGTTTTTGTGGATACAGACTAACACGGCTACCCTTCTGATAAGAGTTCTGGCATTGCTAATCCTGCCCACATGGCAATTGCACCTTCACTTTGGAGTGTAGACGCACACTGTGTGCTTCCGCACTACAATAAGGCCCTATTATCACGGTCTTATCACGGGGGGCAGCAGAGCTCAGGTGACCTGGGGGGCAGGCAGGGCTAAGATGCCACAAGGGGGACAGTTAAGATGCAGGGGAGACAGGTGGCCCATAGAGGGAAGCAGTTAAAATGCAGGAAGTGGGCAGAGTTAAGGTAGCCTCAAGGGAAGGGAACAAGGCTCAGATGCCCCAAAGGAGGGCAGTTAAGATGCAGGGGGCTGGGCTAAAATGCCCCAAGGAGGACAGTTAATCTGTGGCTGGGCATGGCTGAGATGCCCCAAGAGGAAGTAGTTAGGGTGCAGCGGGGCAGGGCTGAGATGCCCCAAGGGGAAGTAGTTAGGGTGCAGCGGGGCAGGGTTGAGACGCCCCCGAGGGGCAGTTAAGCTGGGGGGCAGGCGCGGAGCGGCGCCCCAGGCCGCTGCATGGCTCGGGCGGAGCTGGGGGGGCGCCAGGGCCCAGCGAGGCCGCCCGGCGCGCTCCGCCCAGCGCCGCGCTCCGCCCCGCCCCGCCGCCCCCGGCCGCTGCAGCGATTCCGGGCCAGGCCCCGCGCCTGGAGCCGCCAGCGCCGCGCAGGGTAGCCGCAGCCTCGGCCGGGCCGGGGACATGGTGACGGGATGGCCCGGGCCGGAGACGCCTTCCCGCTGCACCTGCTGGCCTGGCACAACCGGCACCAGGCGCTGGAGAGCGAGCTGCGCACGGGGCAGGTGCGGGACCCCCCGGGATTTTTCCCACCTCGCCGGGCATCCCCGAAACCTCCCCCACCCCGCCGGGCTCCCGCGAGACCCTCCCTTGGACCCCCCACTCCCCCGCGCTTGTATCCCTGGCACCTTCCGGGACCCCAGCGGCACCCCGGACCCTCCCGGGGAACCCCTCACTCTGCTGGGCACCTGGACCCCCCGGGATCTCCCCGCCGGGCACCCCCAAAATCCCCCCTGCTCCCCTACCCCCCCCCGCCACCCCCCCCCCCCCTCGGCCCCCCCGGGCCCCCCCCCTCCCGGCTTTGCCTGGCACCCTCAGAACCCTCCCCGGGATTTACCCCACCCCGCTGGGCACTCTTGGGACTCTGGGACCCTTCGCCCCTCTGGGCACCTCTGGAACGCTTCAAGGCACCCCGGACCTTCCACCCTGCTGGGCACCCCGGGACCTCCCGGGACACCCCCCCCACACACACATTCTACTGGGCATTCCCAGGACCCCCCCACACACAGGCCATGGAAATCCCCTAAATTCCCAGAACCCCTCACCCCAGCACCCACTACCCTGCCAGGCATCCCTGGGCAACACACTGTGGGCACCCCCACCCTGCTGGGCGACTCCCTAACCCTCCAGCACCCCCCCCAAACCCTGGGACCCCTTAACATTTTCCACCCCACTAGGCACCGGCCATCCCTTACCTCCTAGCATTCTCCACCCCACTAGGCACTCCCCACTCCACTGACCCCGTCCCACCAGACACCCTGCCAATCTGCTGGGTACCGGTCACCTGGCAACTCCTATACCCCCGGGACTCCCCAGAATCCCCACTCCACTGGGCATCCCTACTCTGCTGCAGCCACCCCAGGACCCCCTGGGGAACCCCATCCATCAGGCACACTTAGGACTCTACACTGTGGGGACCCTCCTAACCTCCACCCTGGGACCCCCTAGGGCACCCCACCCCCATGGGTAGCCCCACCACAGGGACCCACTAACCCCTCCCCTGGGACCTACCCCACCCCATCAGGAATCCCCAGTGTAGGTACCCCATAACCCACCTGGGATATCCCACTCTGGCACTCCCCCACTGAGCATCCCCTCCTAACTCCTATTCCTACACCAGGTATCCCCCACTCCTGAACCTCAATCCAGCATCTCACTAACCCTGCATCACCACTCTCCAGGTGTCTCCTAACCCCACATCCCCTCCACTGGGTACCCCCTAAACCCTGGTACCCGCTAATCCCCATTCCTCTACTCCAGATCCCTATTCTCCATTACTCCACTCTGGTACCCCCACCCCACCCCGATACCCTCTCTACTCACCCCTCTGAGTAGCCTCCATCCCTTCATCTGGTATCCCACACCAGGACCCCTATCCTCCATCCTTTCCACTCTGGTACCCTCATTAGGTACCCCCAAACCCCTTCCTTCTGGTACCCCCCAGTACCTGCACCAGGTACCCTCTTAATCCCACTCCTCCATCCAGTATCCCCTACCCCCAGCATCGCCCCACTATGTACCCTGACCCTGGTATCCCCATCCTCCATTCCTCCACCTGACACATCTACCCAGCATCCACCCCACCAGGTGCCCCCCCCCCCCCGTCCCCCCCGTTCCCCCTTCCCCCCCCCCCCCCCCCCCCCCCCCCCCGCCTCACCCCAGCATCACTCCAAATGGCACCAGGTGCTGGAGAGCAAGCTGCACTCGGGCAGCCCCCAGCCCTTATTTCCCAATCAGCTCCCCCCTGCCCCGATCCCTCTCACCAGGTCCCCACATTCCCCAGCCGGTACCAGGCTCTGGAGTGTGATCTGCTCACAGGGCAGGTGTGGGATCGACCCCATTCCATAGCCCTCCCAGCCCCTTATCTCTCCTCCCCAACCAGCACTAGGCTCTGGAGAGTGATCTCAGGGCATAAACCCACATCCCCTGCCCTCAGCGCCCCCCATGATCCCATATCTGCCTGCAGCCCACTACAACCACAGTCAGGAGCTTGACAACAAGTTGAGAGGGGCCATAGGGGAAGTGGGCAGGACAAGGCACCCCCACGTCCCCTCGCTGCCATGGGAGGGGCACCTTTGCATGAGTGAGGCTGAGGAGCTGGGCAGGAGAGTCCCCTTGGGGGGGAAGGGGGCAGGCAGAATGGGACCCAGGAGTCCGGGATGGTAGTGCGGGATGTTCACCCATAGAGGCCCAACAGCTTCCAGCCCCGGCAGAGAGGCCAGAGCCCAGGATGGGGAATGGGACCCAGGCCTCCAGGACGGCAGTGGTACAGCTGGGGCCCTAGTTTAGCCCACTGGGGCATGGGGGGTGTACAGCTGTTAACCCCGCAGTTCCCGTTCAGCACGATATCGAGTTGATCGACCCACGGGGCCGCACGCCTCTGGAGCTGGCTGTGTCACTGGGCAACCTCGAGTCGGCCCGGGTGCTGCTGCGGCACAACGCCAACGTGGGCAGGGAGAATGCCAATGGCTGGACAGGTACTGGCGGGGGGAGCACACGGAGCTGGGGGAGGGCAGGACCGGGGGGCAGTTATGGGGAGTTGGGCAGCTCTGGTGCCAGCCCCGCTGATGCACAGCTCCTGCCCTATGGCACGGAATTTCTCCCCCACTAGTTCCTGGAGGTCTCAGCCTCCCCTCTGCCATGCTCCAGGGGGCTGGTGCCCGTGGACCCAGGATTCACACCTGGACTTCGCCAGCAGAGGGTCCTGTATCGTGCCATTGGATACCTGGCTTTGCATGCCCAGGGCAACGGGTTGGTGCTGGCCTTGCCCGGGGTGTGTGCAGGGGAGGGAGCTGGCTTGGGTGCCAGTGTGCAGCGGGGACAGGCAGTGCCCTATGCCTGATGGCTCTGTGTTGCTCCCTCTCTGCCCCTCCCCCAGTCCTGCAGGAGGCCGTCAGCACCGGGGACCCTGAGATGGTGCAGCTGGTGCTCCAATACCGCGACTACCAGCGTGCCACCAACCGCCTGGCTGGCATCCCCGAGCTGCTCAACAAACTGCGCAAGGTCAGTGTGTGTGTGTGCCCCCAGCCAGCCTTGCTGTCAGGTACAGACCCCCCCACACTCCCCCACCCCCTGGATCCCAGCCCCCTGGCACCCCCCCCCTGGGATACAGATTCCCCCCTGCCCTGGGGTACAGACCCCCCAGGACCCCAGCCCTCTGGCACCCCCGCCCTGGGGTACAGACACTCCCTGCCAGGACCCCAGCCCCCTGTCACCCCCGCCCTGGGGTACAGACCCCCTGGGACCTCAGCCCCCTGCGCCAGCCTTGCCCTGGGATACAGACACCTGCCCCCGGGACTCCAGCCCCCTGCCAGCCTTGCTCTGGGGTACAGATACCCCACCCCAGGACCCCAGAACCCTGGCACCCCCACCCTGGGGTACAGACCCTCTGGGACCTTAGCCCCCCGCCCCCCTTGCCCTGGGGGACTAGCCCCCCCCCAGGACCCCAGTCCCCTGGCATCCTTGCCCTGGAGTACAGACACCCCCCTGGGGCCCCAGCCCCCTGGCATTCCCACCCTGGGCTACAGACACCCCCCTGGGGCCCCCACCCTGAGGTGCAGATGAACCCCCCACCGGGACCCCAGCCCTCTGGCACCTCCGCCCTGCTGGCCCCTAGGTGCCCCCTGAGAGCTAAGCCCTGGGCGCCCGCAGTGCGATGGATCCTCCTGCTGCCACTCTGGGGATCCATTGTGGATGCATCTGGGATCCCCCAGGATCTCGGACATGAGCACACCTAGGATCTCACCCAGCTCTGGGGATTCCCAGCTTGAGATTTGTCCCCCAGGATCTCTCACTTCCCCCGGGATCCTGTTCTTACCCCCCACCTCCAATCAGGGCAGGGATCTCCCCTCCTCCCCAGGTCCGGATCTCTCTTCCCCTGCCCCTCCTGGATCTGATCACTGCAGGGAATCCCACCCACCCTTCTGATCCCCCCCCCCTCCACCACCCCTCCAGGGAATCCCCCATGATCTCCCCGACCCCAATCTCTGCAGGGATTCCCCCCCGCCCCGCAGACCCTGATCTCCCCCCACCCCGATCTCTGCCGGGAATGCCTGATCTCATTGCTTTGCTGTCCTCTCTCTTCCAGGCCCCTGATTTCTACGTGGAGATGAAGTGGGAATTCACCAGCTGGGGTGAGTCCGTCCCTGGGTGCTCCCGAAGGGGGGTTTGCAGGAGGATACCCCCAATCTCCTTCCCCAGTGCCAGAGACCAGGGATATGCGGCTACATGGAGGGGAGAGACTAGAGACACATGGTGGTTGTCCCCACCCCGCCCCTACCCTGCCCCTGATCTGCCAGCAGTTGGTGCCTCCCTTTCTTGGAGTTGGGCCCTGGGGTAGGGGTTCGGGGGGAATGGGAGCGCTGCCTGGCGGTGTTAAGCCCAGCACCATAATGGAGCCCCTGGTGGCTGGGAGGAGGAACTGCAGACATCTGGACACACCCTCCCCAGCGGGGTGCAGGGCTGGGCTGACAGCGTGCAGGTGGGGCAGCTGCCCACACTGCCATGCCCTCCCCTGCTCACTCTCTGTCCCTCCCCCACAGTGCCCCTGGTCTCCAAAGTGTGCCCGAGTGATGTGTACCGGGTGTGGAAGCGCGGCGAGAGCCTGCGGGTCGACACCACCCTGCTGGGCTTCGAGCACATGACCTGGCAGCGTGGGCGGCGCAGCTATATCTTCAAGGGGGAAGGTCAGAGATGCCCCCAGCCTCTCCAGGCCCCACCCCATTCCTGTGCCTCCGGGGGAATTGGGGTCTCCTCCCCCCATGGTGTTCCTCCCCTGTTCTTCCGTGGGAATTTGCTCCTGCCCTATGCCCCCAGGGGAATTGGGCTCTATTTCCCCTCGATGCCCTGTGCAGGATGCACCTCCCCGATCTGGCTGAGTAGTAGAGGTGGGCCCCTTTCCACTCCCCGACATGAGGGGCTCCCAGAGATGGGGCTGAGACCCCAGCTGGCCCAGCCCTCGGGAGGGGAATGGGGTCACTGCCAATGGGAGTTGGTGCTCCATTGGGATATGGCTGCTGTAAAGGGCCAGGGAAGCAGTCCGCCTGCACCTAGAGTCTCACGGGATCCTGGAGGGAGGCTGAGGTGACATCACCACGGAACCTCCAGCCTGGCCACAGGTGGGGTGGGGTGGGGTGGGGCTGTGGCACTGATGTGTCCCCTCTCCCCCTGGCCAGAGGAGGGTGCCGTGGTGATGGAGGTGGATCACGACAAGCAGGTGGTCTACACGGAGACGCTGTCGCTTGCCCTTCACGAGCCGGAGCTGATGCTGGCTGCCATGCAGCCCACCGAGGAGCATGTGGCCAGCCGGCTGACCTCGCCCGTTGTCTCCACCCACCTCGACACCAAGAACATCGCCTTCGAGCGGTGAGCTGTTGGGGGGGGGGGCACACGTGGGGGGCATTCATGCAGACTGACCACATGGGGGCAGGCCTCTGAGAGGGGAGCAGGTGTGGGAGGCTGGGTGCACGAGGACAGCCATGAGGGAGGCAGGAGAGTACGTGACTGGGGAGGGAGGGCAGGGAAGGAGGAGCATGCGACGAGTGCACAAGTGGCGGGTGAGGTGGCTGTGCACGAGATGCCCTTGTGCTAGAGGCAGTGGACAGTGGGGAGAGGGGATGGGCACGACTGACATTTGTGTGGTCGCAAATGGTGAGCGGTGTGGGGGATCCATGTGTGTGATGGGCCCTTGTACAACCGTGTGCGCTAGTGAGCATGGGGTTGGGGGGTGGTCTGCGTGTGCGACGGGCCCTTAAACGACCATGCGTACTAGTGAGATAAGCGGAGGATCCTCATACAACTGCACGTGCTAGTGAGAGGGACAGAGGAATCCGCGTGTGCAAGAGGGATTCATGTGACCACATATGCTAGTGAGTGCGGTGGGTGATCTGCGTGTGTGACGGGCACAACCATGTCCACTAGTGAGTGGGGTGGGCCAGGAGTCTGCATGTGCGATGGGCCCTCGTATGGCTGCGTGTCTTAATGAGGGGGCAGGGGGTTCGTATATATAATAGTCCTTCATATGATTGTGTGTGTGCTAGTGAGCGGGCCAGGGGATCTGCGTGTGTGATGGACACAATAGTGTGTGCTTGTGAGTGGGGCAAGGGGGTCTTCATGTACAACGGCCCCTCGTACGACCGTGTGTGCTAGTGAGAGGGGCAGGGGGTCCACGTGTGCGACGAGATTTCATATAACCACATGTGCTAGTGAGCGGGGTGGGTGATCTGCGTGTGTGACGGGCACAACCGTGTGCACTAGTGAGTGGGGTGGGGCAGGGGTCCACATGTGTGATGGGCTCTCGTACGACCGTGTGTTCTAGTGAACGGGGCAGGGGGGTCCGCATGTGCGACTGGCCCTCGTATGCAATGGGCCCTCATATGGCTGCATGTGCGAATGAGAGGGGTAGGGGGTCCGTATATGCAACAGGCCTTCATGTGACCACATGTGTTAGTGAGCGGGGCGAGGGATCTGTGTGTGTGACAGGCACAACTGTGTGTGTTAGTGAGTGGGTCCGTGGGTCCTCGTATGGCTGCGTGTCTTAATGAGTGGGCAGGGGAGCCGTATAGGCATTAAGTCTTCATATGATTGTGTGTGCGCTAGTGAGCGGGGCAGGGGATCTGCGTGTGTGACAGAACACACTTGTGTGTGCTAGTGAGTGGGGCGGGGGGTCTGCATGTGTGATGGGCCCTCGTGTACTAGTGAGCAGGGTGGGGGGGGAGGCGCAAGTGACAGGCCCTTGTACAACCGCTCATGCTAGTGAGCAGGGTTGGGGGGTGACCAGGCCTTTCCTTGGGCATCTTGTCCTTCAGCACCATGCCCGCCCTTGGGGTTGATGATCAGAGCTAGGGCTGGGGGGTGCGCGTGCCTGTAGAGTGACCAGATGTCCCAATTTTAGGAGCCTATATAAGGAAAAGACCCCATTACTCCCCACCCCCGTCCCGATTTTTCACACTTGCTGTCTGGTCACCCTACCTGCCTGCAGCTCTTGTGCAACAGCTCTACTCACAGCTGGGCACTGAAAGGAGGCTCCAGGGAGGAACAGAGCCGGGCTTGAGCAGCTCTTGACTGGAAGGAGCCTGGGGGAGCCGCAGCCAGGCATTGGGGCATATGGGGGAGGGGAGGGGTCTGTCTAGGGCGGAAGTGGGGGAACGCAGCATCTGACCCGGCCATTCCTGTCTTGGCAGGAACAAGTCTGGGATCTGGGGCTGGCGCTCGGAGAAGATGGAAGTGATCAGTGGCTATGAAGCCAAGGTAATGCCCTGTTCCCCACCCTGGGGGTGCAGGGGATGGGAACCTTAACTGGGAGGGGAAGACTGGGACAGGATGGGACCCAGACCTCTGGGATGGCAGTGTGAAGTTCTTGCCTGTAGGGGCCCCACAGTTTCCCGAGGGAGGAGAGATCAGGATGGGGAATGGGACCCAGGCATCTAGGAGCAGGAGGAGATGCTCACCTCTACGGGCCTCATACGACTGCATGTACTAGAGACACCAAGCCAGCAAATGGGACCCAGGTGTCCAGAATGGCAGCACAAGGTGCTCACTCCTTGGGGGTGCAGCTCGTGTGTGGGGGAGGGGGGGCTGGGAAAGCTGATTCACATCCCATGTCCTGGCAGGTTTACAGCGCCAGCAACGTGGAGCTCATCACTAAAACAAGAACCGAGCACCTATCGGACCAGGACAAGTCCCGCACCAAAGGTAACACGCTGGCCCTAGCCAACCAATCAGAACATCCAGTCTGCAATGGCCCACCCCTTCCCCTCTGACACACCCACCCTGCATATCCAATCACAGTGCCAGCCCCACACATATGCACAGCATAGGGTTGCCAACTTAGTAATATTCAAAAACTGGACACTCCTGCAGGAGTGTCGGAACCTCCCCTGCCCCACCTCTTCCTCTGAGGCCCCGCCCCCACGCACTCCTTTTCCCCCCTCTTCATCCCTGTTGCTTGCTGCTTTTCCCTCCCCACCCTCCGGCCCGGTCAGAAGGGACTTGCCTGCGGAGCCAGGGCTAGGAACTACAGCTGCCTGATGAAGGCAGGAGGCGGCCTGGCTGAGTAGGGGCTGGAGCAGGTGATGACCTAGTGCCTCCCGACCTCCCACATCCAAAGTAACCGGACATTGGGCGTCCGCTCAGTAGATCTGACTGGACACTGTCAGGTCCCCTCTTCAATCGGACTTTCCAGTCGAAAACCGGACACTTTGCCACCCTAGTACAGCACCCCTTCCCCTGCGACTGTCCAGCCTGGCCCCAGCCCTCTGTTCAGACTGCCCCGTCCCCCTCTGATATACCCACTCTGGACATTCAGTCACAGCACCCCAACCCTCCCCCTCTGACATGCCCACCCACAGTGCCCCCGTACTTCCCCTTGTAACAGACCCGCCGCAGCTTTCCAATCACAGCACCTGCCTACAAGGGCCTGGCCCCACCCCCTGGCCCTTCAGTCACAGCACGGTACCCATCCCTCCCCTCCAGTCACAACCCCATTGACAACAGCCCGCCTCTCCACCTGTCCATCATGTCTCAAGCCCCGCCCCCTGAGCACTCGTTTAAGCTGCCCACTGATGCTGAGTGTTCTGTATCCACACCACATCAGACCTGATGGGGGGGAACTGGCCCTACCAGAGTAGCCTCCCCCAGGGCACAGAATGAGTGTGGTAGCTGTTTCCTCGGGGAGTGGGGAGGTGGTGGTGGTGGGGATTCATACACTCCAGGGGATCTTTGAGTCTAACCTACTCTCCCCCCTCCCCCTGTAGGCTCCAAGACGCCCTTCCAATCCTTCCTGGGGATCGCCCAGCAGCATGCCTCCCACAATGGGGTGAGTGACAGGCCCCCTCCTGCTCTGGGGACTCGAGACGCACACCTGGTGTGGTGGGGGTCAGGGCAGAAGCGTCAAGTTCCCAGCCATGATGGTAGAATCTGGGGATGGGGCTGTTTGAGGGTGAGGGGTGGGGGGAATACAGCAAGCGAGGGGGAATTTGGCACAAGGGGCACAGCCAGAGAGCATGTGAATGGGGGATCTGACTCCCGTTCCCCATGCCTGCCCCCTCCAGGCCCCCGTGCTGCAGTCCGCCACTCTCACCAACCCCACGGCCATCACCCCCGAGGAGTACTTCGACCCCAGCTTCAACCTGGAGGCCCGCAACATTGGCCGCCCTATTGAGATGTCCAACAAGGTGCAGAGGTGAGGTGGGGGTGGGGGTCTGGGATGGCAGCAGAGGGGCAGAATGTGCTAGAGGAGCATGAAGAGTCGCTCTGCACTTTCAGCCAGTGATACTGTATGGTGTGGAAAATCCACCCTAATTCTAGCTCCCCTCTGCCAGAGAATGGCACCCAGGTGTCTGGGATGGCAGGGCAGTGTGTTCACCCCTAGAAGTTCCTGCAGCTCCCAGCCCCCAGAGTGAGGGAGAGACCAGGACAGGGAATGGGACCCAGGCATCCGGGACAGCAGTGTAGAGTGCTCGCCCCTAACGGGCGCCAGCCTGGTCCCTTGCTTTGCATAGCCAGTGCCGTGCAGGAAGAGGGGCTGGGGCAGCTGGCTGTGATGCTCTCCCGGCCGTGACAGGTTCAAGGCCACGCTGTGGCTGTGCGAGGATCACCCCCTGTCGCTGGTGGAGCAGGTAACGCCCATCATCGACCTCATGGCCATCAGCAACGCTCACTTCGCCAAGCTGCGTGATTTCATCACCCTCAAGCTGCCGCCCGGCTTCCCCGTCAAAATTGGTGAGTGGGGCAGAGCTGAGGGGGGGTGGCCTGGCTGGATTTGGAGCGTGATAGAGGTGGGCAGGGGACGGGTGGAGGGGAAGGAATGGCTGGGATCTGGGGAGTCTGAGGGGCACAGAGGTGGCTGGAGATGTGGTGGGAATTGCGGGGTTGGGGGAAATGAGGGCCAATTGTGGGGGTATGAGGGTTGGCAGGAGTCACCCAGAGTGGGGGGGAGTTGGATTGGGGGCAGGGGAGTCGGGAAGTGTGGCAAGGATCATGGAGAAGGGTGGCTGGGATGATGGGCAAGGAGTGGCAAGGATCATGACAGGGAGGGGTGGCTGGGGGCTGTGGGGAGCTGGGCTGGGGTGGCTGAGGGCTGGAGAGGATGGGGAAGCTGGCAGGAGGGGTGGTTATGGGGCAGGGGAGGGGCAGCAGGGATCATGGGGGGAGGGGGGCTGGGGGCCAGGAAGGATGGGGGAGCTGGGGAGTGGGGTCTGAGGGGCAGAGGAGGTGTGGCTGGGATCATGATGGGGAGGGGTGGCTGGGGGCTGTGGGGAGCTGGGCTGGGGTGGCTGATGGGTGAGGGGCATGCCTGGGGGCTGTACCATCTGTTGCTCCCAGTGTCTCACGCTCTCATGTTCACACACATACACACACACACACACACCAGAGATCCCCCTCTTCCATGTGCTCAATGCACGAATCACCTTCAGCAACCTGTGTGGGTGTGATGAGTCGCTGAGCTCCGTGCGAGTCTGCGGCCCTGCCCCCAGCTCCTCCCCAGGGGATGCCAGAGAGCCAGCTGCAGGGGCAGAGGCGCCCCCCAACCCCAAAGGTAGGGGAGCCTGCAAGGGGGGGGGGCTGGGCACACCAGGCATCCCACTGCAAACCCCACAGTGACCCCTATTGACCCCAGTCTCCATGGGGTCGAGGGCCAAGGCAGTGTGTGTGGGGGGTGGGTGTCTCTCTGGGCGGGGCAGACTCCTACAGGTGGAGCAGTGTGTCTGTGATCCTAGTGGGGTATGGGCCCCCCCACACTCACCCCATCCCCCTCTCCCCAGTGTTCCCGTTCCCCTGCGAGGTGGACCCGGTGGTGTTCGAGGTGCCCCAGGGCTACGCTATGCTGGGTGCTGGCCGCAATGAGCCCATGCGGGACGAGGATGACGACCTGCTGCAGTTTGCCATCCAGCAGAGCCTGCTCGATGCTGGCACCGAGACCGACCAGGTGAGATCTGGGCAGGGCCTTTCTCCTCTCAGGGCACCAGCTCCAATCTGGCCCCCAGGGTGGGGGGGACTGGCAGGCTCAGGGGGGCAGGGAATGGGACATGGGGCCTTTCCCCT